CCCTGGGAGATTGGAAAGGCTTTTAGCTCCGTGGCAGCATTAGCTCCTGGTGCTCCTGGGTTTCCTGTAATTTTCCCCGGCCGCCCTGCCTGAAACGCCCTGTTAGTTCCAGGCCACTTGCCAGTCCAAGCTCGCGTACGCTCTGAGCAGCTCTGTGTAAAGCCACCTGGGCGGCTGCTCTTCCCCCACATTTTTCTGTAGCCGGGTGATGCTCGGCTGGGCCTTCGTTAGCACAGCTGCAGGTGCCAGCCCGGGTCATGACATTTAACAAAAAAAAAAAGTCTATTCATTACACTTCACCCATAAGCACAGCAGTGATCCTATGGGCAGGTCTGCTGTAGCCGCTACCTATGCTGACAGGAGGGCGTCTCCCATGGGTGTAGGTACACTACCTCCCGGAGAAGAACAGCGCCTGTCTACACCGGAGGTGAGGCCGATTTTACTGCGTTGCTTGGGGCGGGGGGGAGGAGGATTTTTCACTCAGGGGGGTGAGGCTGGGGACCGACTGGCTAAGCAGCAGTTCTGCAGAAAAGGGATGTGGACAAATTGGAGAGAGTCCAGCGGAGGGCAACGAAATTGATTGGGGGCTCGGGCACATGACTTATGAGGAGAGGCTGAGGGAACTGGGGTTATTTAGTCTATAGAAGAGAAGAGTGAGGGGGGATTTGACAGAAGCCTTCAACGACCTGAAGGGGGGTTCCAAAGAGGATGGAGCTCAGCTGTTCTCAGTGGTGGCAGATGACAGAACAAGGAGCAATGGTCTCAAGTTGCAGTGAGGGAGGTCTAGGTTGGATATTAGGAAACACTATTTCACTAGGAGGGTGATGAAGCACTGGAATGGGTTCCCAATGGAGGTGGTAGAATCTCCATTCTTAGAGGTTTTTAAAGTCAGGCTTGACAAAGCCCTGGCTGGGGTGATTTAGTTGGGGATTGGTCCTGCTTTGAGCAGGAGGTCGGACTAGATGACCTCCCAAGGTCTCTTCCAACCCTAATATTCTATGATTCTGTGATTCTATTATGTCGTTATACCAACCTAATTTCCTAGTGTAGCCCTGGCCTAGGTACCAAGAGGTGACTTCAGTTATTTAGATTGGAAAGAAAGCCCCCAACGCTCTTGGGAGGTGAGTGCTCTAATCACTGGTCTTTCGGGGCTCTTGGGACTGGACTCAAGCTCTCTTGTTGAAGTTGTTCCACTTTGTGACACACGTTTTAACAGCGGGTCACACAACTGTTAGCACTAGAACGTTAGCTAACAGCCATGCTGGGTTTCTAGTCCTGGTTCTGGGACAGGAGTGGATTCTAGTGGTTACAGACTAGCCAAGCATCAATTCAGAGGTCTTTCAGCACAGCAGCATGGCTGAGATTGGCTCTGTCAGTAGAGATCGGGGTTTCCCTCCCAGCTATGTCAGAAGTTACATTGGCTTCTTGCCTCCTACCAATAGTAAGTGTTGTCACATGTACAGCAATGCTGACGGTGAGAGAAATGAGATGTGGTCTCCTGGATCCCAGTGTAAGGTACTTTCTCCTGGGCTACAGGGTGTTTTGGAGGGGAATGCTCTCACACATCACACAACAAATTGTCATTTTGCCTATCTGGGTCCCAGGAAGACAGGACAGCCTCCTGAATTTAGGGACCAACTTGTGAAATTTGAGAGTGGTGGCAACCTTATTGTAGTGTAACACATCTGCCAGCCATGGAGTTGCCAGCAACAAAGGCCGGGTTCAATATCTAGCGGTTCCTTTTGACAACACAACACACAACTCGGGCCCTCACCCAGTAATCTGGGAAAACTACACTCCACTCCTGGGTGCCTCTAAGAGGCAATACTTCCCCTCTTGCAAGCACTGAGTCTGTGTTTGGAAAAGAAAACTTTTAATAAAAGGGGAAGGAATCTGGCATTAATTTGGGAAATCCCCACAAGCATTATTCGAAAACATATGACCATGAGCAGAACACCCACCCCAGAGTACATTGGGCAGCGTCCTTTTCCTCAGTCTCTCACTTTGTGGTGTGAAAGGCCGACAAACAAATGTCCCTTTAACATGCCACTCCCCTCTCCCTCCACCACACCCTACTCACAGTTGTTGTCTTTGATCAGCAACGACCCAGAGTTCTGAGGTGCGGGGGAAAGGCGTCAAGCAAGGCCTCAGCGGCTGCTACCGGCTGCTCTGTTGTCATTCACTCTGCCACTGCCTTCTCTACTGCAGCCTCTGAGATGTCTTGAGGGCCCACCACTTAACACAGCTCTTAGTGATTTCCGCTGTTCGTGGGGGAGCCTCACTGTTAGTGCAGGCTGGGCAGCCTCTTTCACCGGAGACACTGTCCCAAGCAGATCTAAGGCTTACCGCTTCGACCAGGTCATCACTGATTCCAGCTCTACAACAAAAGACTCTGAATTGGGTCTTAGTCAGGTCTGTCCTTAAACAGTGGAGAGGGGGTGGGTCAAGTGGTGGCTAGGGCCCTTAGAGCCCACACGACAAGGCAAAAACACCTGTCCTCACCCTCTCTCATCTCCACTGGGCTGTGGCACCCCTCCTCCCTGCTGAGTGAGAACCCCTCTATCAGGGTCTGCCAGGCACAATTCTGCTGCCCCTTGATTCACACAACAAGGTTGACACTTTATTACCCCTGCACCCAATAACAGAGTGATTTGCCATCCAACATCAGCCAGAAGTGAGCGTCTGGGTCGAACAGCCCCATCATGCTGTGCACCTAGGCGGAGTGGGCGTGTCTATGCAAACAAGGTCAGTCCCTGAAGTCGTCTTCCCCAGCTCCCCAGTTAGCCGGGGAGAGCTCATTCAGACCCCGCTTACAGTAGAGTGTAGGAACGGGGTAGCATCCTTTTAACTGTTCTGTGGGTCTTCTGGTGGCCCTCACTGTCTTCTATGTTTCAGCCTCAGAACCCTGCCAGAGCAGCTGTGTTTGTGTAACTAGGACTGTGTATAGTTCATACAATGGTTATTTGGACTGCACTGTGGCCATGTGGTTCCTCTATGTTACATATGTGCTGACAACATCTATCCACAGTTCTTTGGCAGCTGTACGCAACATGTACCCAGGCCCTGTGAGCCCACCTATGTACACACCACGTTCCCAGTCCAACTGGGCCTCCATCTGCAACCTGTACCAAGATCCAGTGTACCCCAACCAATGCAGGCCATCTTCCCAGCTTCAGGATGCATGTCCCCAGCCCCCTTGGCAACCTGACATACCGTGTTCCCAGCCTCCGGGCATGCCCACCACTTTCCCCAGCCCCGCCATTACCAATATGCATTGCACATACAGACGTTCTGTCGCCCAGCACATCTGTGTACCAATCACCATGTGCCCCTGTTCCCTTGCACTCAAAGGCACCATGTACCCAGCTCCTGCCCCAGCTCTGTACCTTGGCCCCATACACACTTTGGGCTGGTCTATACTTACCTGTTAGTTCGACGGCTGGAAATCGAACTTCCGGGTTCGATTTATCGCGTCTGGTCTGGACGCGATAAATCGATCCCGGAAGTGCTCGCCGTCGACTGCGGTACTCCAGCTCGGCGAGAGGAGTACCGCGGAGTCAACGGGGAGCCTGCCTGCCGCGTGTGGACCGCGTCTGAACCGCGGTAAGTTCGAACTAAGGTATGTCGACTTCAGCTACGTTATTCACGTAGCTGAAGTTGCGTACCTTAGTTCGAATTGGGGGGTTAGTGTAGACCAGGCCTTTGTCTCCAGCCCCTGGGCACCCCAGGGCCACACGCAGGGTATCCAGCCCTGTACTCCTGGGGCACAGATACGCTCTGTGTCCCATCCTTACCCCTGCGCTGAGCCTTTTGCACTGGCAGTGCCGTTCTGTTGTGATCAGTGCTCTGTAGAATGGCCCCAGCCAATGTGCTCCTTTTCCAGAGTTTGGTCCGTCTGCTGTCCCTGCTGGGTGCTCCTGGAGGGGAGAGTTGTGCTGGGCTTGCCCCATCTCGTGCATTAGCCCCAGTAACAAGGGCTCTGCGCAGGGAACATACTTAATAATCCCATTGTGCTGATGCCTGGACTAGACTACACTCGACTCCCTCCCAGAGCTGCGCTGCCCTATACCGGGGTGGCCCTTGCTGGGCAGAAGCCAGAGGCGACGTGGGTGTGTGGTCACAGGCCCCCCAGATTTTTGCCAGGGTTTGCTGGCCCCACTCGGTCACATGGTGCCACTGGGTCCCCTCCCTCCACAGCAGCTGCTGAGGGTGGCAAGCTGTGAGCTGCAGCTGTGGGGAGAGGCAGCGGCAAACAGCTGAAAGCTACGGGGAAAGCCGCTGCGTTTGCTGTTGCCTCAACAGCTGGGAGCTGCAGGGCCACTGAGGATAAGGGGGGGGCGTAACTCAAGCTGTTGGGGGGCAAACTTTTAAATTGTGCCACCCCGAGCCCCGCTCTCAGCAGCCACCAGTTGTCTCTGGCAGAAGCCCCTAGCCCCACCAACGCCGCAGGGCAGAAGCCCCGAGCCTCCCCCCTCACCAGTCTGGTAGGCAGAGGGGCCGGGGGGGGGGGAGCGCTGCGAGCCCCACTTTAACTGTAAAAGAGCTCACAAGCTGCAGTCTGGCCACCCCGGCCCTCCGGGGATAACCCTTCTGCGAGGGTCCCTAGCTCGTCTGACGGCAGAGGCCTGCAGGGCTGTTCCGACACCCCCCCGTCCAGGCAGAGATGCGGCTGCACTTGGGTTCTGATCCAGCCACGCCGCTAACGAAGGAGGAGCCTGTCCCTGACACCTGGCCCCCGCCTTCCCTCCCACCATCCCTCACTGGGAACAAGCAAAACCAGAGCCACGTGCGGGGATCGATTCCTCCCTCCCAGCCCTGCAAGCCCGGCCCCTTCCCAGCAGCAGCGATTACACAAATGGACCACTGGGCTCTGCTCCAGCAGGCCTGATGGAGGCGTGAAAGGGCAGAGGACCCTTTCCTGCCCCAGGCGGAGGCGCTTTGGCGCTGCAGGCGGGAGGGAGCGGAGCTCTTCGCAGTGACCTTGGTCACCCTCCTGCATTAGAACAGGACTGCTCCGCGCCCTGGCTGTTTAGCAGGCTGTCTCTATGGCTACCGGAATAAACAGCAGATAATAGCGCAGCAGCCTCCAAGCAGCACTGCAGTCTGCAGACCAGGAGGGAGCAGGGCTTCTCCGGGTAGCCTGCCACAGCTCAGCAGAGGCACTTCGGGCGGTAAGTCGGCAGAGCAGCCACCGGATGGGCTGCTTCTGCAGGAGGAGGAGGAGAAGGAGGGGGGTGCGGGCTGGCTGGCAACACGGGGGGTCTCGCTCAGTGCACTGGCTGCCTGGATTGGCATCACTGACTGGGGGCTAATTCCCCCCATCTGGGGGCGCAGAGCAGGGAAGCGAGCTGGCCTGCATGCCCGGGGGACTAGGCCTGTGGGGAAGCACTGGGCTGACGTGCAGGGATGGAGGGAGCAGGCTTGGAGCTCATCTGCAGCGATCTGCGTGTGCCGCTTCCAGGGACTCAGCTCACTTGGGTGAAAAGGAGGGACACGCCCTGCAGAGCAGGCTGGCTGGCTGCTCCCCCCCCGAACAGCATCGGAGATGGGGTGCTCCCCCATCGGCACCTCGCGCAGCATCGGTGCTGCCTTCAGTGCGTCACATGGCGCAAACCATGCACCATGCGTGGGACCAGAAAAAGGAAATGCCCACGACAGGCACACTGCAGCACACCCCTCCCCCACGCATCGCGCCCGGGCCACACCCGTACCCTGAATCCACCTGCACATTCCCCTCGGCCCTTACACACGTTCCCCCCTGTGCAAACCGCAGCAATGATACTTAGCGCTTTTCATCCCTAGGTCCCAAAGCTCTTTACAAAAGAAGGGACGTACCCAACCTCCATTTCACAGCTGGGGAAACTGAGACCAGAGATGAGCCAGGATCACCCAGCAGGGCAAAGGCAGAGCCAGGAACAGGACCCAAGTCTCCAATCCCAGTACTGCACCCGATCCACTAGTAGGCTTCCCGCACACAAACCTAAGACCTGCTCCGGGGCGCGACGGCCTGTGGTGTTCAGGGGCCTGGCCCCCCCCCTTATGCCTCTGTGAATTCACTGAGCGCTCCCTGGAGAGGGCAGGACCCTGCGTGGTGCCTCTCTCGGGGCGTGGCATTGTGTCCCACGCTGCTCAGTATTGTCACACAGTGCCTGCAGTGCTCAGGGAGACAGAAATAACTCGTAGGTTGGTGTCCTGCTGGCAGCTTCCTCCTCTTCCCACCTTCCCCTCCATGCAATCCCTATGCCCCCTGCTCGCCTGCAAACCCACGCTGCATATGCGCTCACAGCCTGGAAAGGGGAACGGTCAGATTCGCTGTAGACGCTACTGACCCGAGCGCTGGCGTGACTGGCCTGGGGTGCAAGGACCTCTCCACCGACAGCGGATACAGCCTGGCAGCAGCAGGACTCACATCGCCCCCTGCCACCCCTCCGACCCCCCTCTCCCACACTGTCCTGCCCCTGGAGGGACTCCTCCTGGCAGGGGTGTTGGCATGGGCAGTCTCTGGGGCCCTGCCAGTCCCGGCTAGCTCAGGGCTAATTGTGATAGTGAAAGAGAAGGCAGAGCCAGAAGGGGTGGCTTAGTGGTGTATCAGGTGTCAAATATCAGGTTATGATCCCTGGCAAAACAGGGCCCACTCCTGGCCGGGAGAGCAGCGCTTCCCCGGTGCTGTGTGGAGCTTCCAGGCTGGAGCTGAGCATGCAGGGGCTAGTCTGCTCAGCACAGACGGTAGTGCCCACGGCGCTGTACAGAAGACCTGGGGGTCGGACTAGCGGCCCTGCAGTGAGCTGGCCCCCAGCTTGCCCGCAGCTGCATTGCAGTGGGGCTGGGTGGGGATGATGTGTCCATTAGCCAAACCCTGGCCATCAACTCAGTTCAGCAAGACCAACGTTGCCTGAGCCAAGGAGAGGGACACGTTTGTTAGGCCCACTTCCGGGGAGAGAGCGATTCGGTGCCAAGAGCCTTCTCTGGGCCCAGCCGCCGTGGGAACCCGGCTCCCTTTGGCTGCGTCAGGCTGCTTTGCTGGCAGGTTACGCACACACTGATTAATGGGCTGCAGCTGTTTCTGCTGCAGCAGCCCGAGTGGATTCCCATTGGGAAGGCCAGACGCTGTGAACTCCTTCCCTGGGCACTGGCAGGAGCGCCCCAGATCAAATAGACACGATGGGGAGTACCACAACTCCTGATTGTGGCCACACCCGGATCTTGGGCATGGCTGCCAGCTTGTCAGAGTGTCTCTGTGCCCGTGTGTGTGTCTCTATGAGGCTGTGAGTGGCTTTATGTGCCAGCCTAGGCTTTTTCCCCTGCAATTCCCCCATTGCCAGCCTCAGGCCAGCTGCCCTGATGGGGGCCTTGGTGCTGCCAGGCTGCCTGGGGGGTGAGAAGACAGGAGGCCGCCTGGAGCCCTGGTTCGAGCAGCGTTGTAAGGGAACTGAGGCCCGTCTGGCTGCTGTGCAGTGTAGCAGTAGCCGTGCCGGTCCCCAGATATTTGGGAGACAAGGTGTGTGATGTAACCGCGTTAATAGCTGGGCCGCTGGCAGGACCCCTCCCAGACCTGAAGACGAGCTCGGTGTGGCTCCCAAGCTTGTTCTCTCAACAACAGAAGTTGGCCCAATACCAGCAATGACCTCACCCACCCTGTCGCTCTGGACTCGGTGCATATGCGAATAGTCCAGCCCCGCCATGCCTCCCGCAGCAACAGCTCCAAGCAGCACAGCCCTCCCTAGCAACGGTCGCCAGGCAGCGCAAACTCTGGCCACGCCAGCCGACAAGCCCACACGCCTGTTTTTGTTTAATGTCAGACTGTAACTAGGGCCCGGGGCTAGGCAATCCCCTCAGCCCAGCAGGCCGGGTGACTCTGCCCTGTGGCTGAGGGACCTGGAAGAGAGCAGGGGTGGGGTGGGGTGAGGTGGAGCTGGGAGCTTGCTGGGTTAAGGCATTTCAAAACTGACCGGTGCTGCTGGCTCCCCAGCTGGCGACAGCTTAAGGGGTCCCGAGGTTCAGAAGGTGCTGCCCCCCCCATCTGTAAACCAGGCCCCTGTATGGTGTCCCAGGCTGGGCCCCCAGACCCCCCCAGTCCCTGGTGAAAGGCTTGGCCCTGGCGCTCAATGACAGACCTGCAGGCGCTGAAGTACTTTGCCCAGCTGTGGCCATTTTGATATACTGGGGTCCCCCCACCCCCCTTTCACACAGGCTGAAGCACTTGCTCTGTTCCCACTCACCTGCACACTGTTCCCTGTGCGGTGCCAGCTCGATTCCCAGCACGGAGGGCATGCCATAGGCAGAGCTGAGCTGCCTGCCAGAGGCAATCACGCTGGTGCCAGCGCCTGACAAGCGCCCCGCCCCGCCCAGTGCCAGCCCCTATGGAGGTGCCGGGATGACATGAAGATGCTGACCTGTGCTTTGCTAATGCATAGAGCCAGCAGCATTTAGAAGGTGGGAGAGGCCTGTGAGAATCAGAGTGCCAGGGAGTTTGAGGTGGCCACAGGCTCTGTGAAAAGCGAAGGGGAGTCACCGGATGTTAACTGCTAAGTGGCGGATGGCCGTTGTGGAGTGCCGGGCAGTTGTTCTTCCCCTGCTCATGGCACTGATGTGCTGGCTTCAGAGATGCTGATCAGGGAAAACACGTCTCTTTAGCGCAACCAGTTTAGCTGTGAAAAAGTCTCTTGGTGACAGCTTTCCCTGATCAGCCAGGGCAGCGCTGTCTGAAGGAGGAGGAAAAGAAGAGGTGTTACATCAGTCTCAATACACTGGGCCAACACTCCCACTACAGCGCTGCCAATGCCCCTCTGTCCTGACCCACAGTGCCAGCCTTGGGGCCCATACACAGCTCCCCAGTCCCGACCCACAGCCCCTCTGCTATTCTAGCCCTGGGACCCACACACACAGAGCTCTACAAATGCCCCACAAGCCTGATCTTCAGCTCCCGCTGCTATCCTAGTCCTCGGCTCCCCACTTCCACGTCTGCCGGTGCAGCTTGGTCGTGAAGGGGCCGGGCTTTTGTGGGAGGCAGCGGTCTAAGGGGTGTTGCAGGGTGCAGGGGTGCACAGATGGTATGCACAGTATCTGGTGTGATTGCTGGAGTTTGCGTAGTAACTGGATCCATTTCTCCTCTGCCTACCAAAGGTCAGCATGGCTGGAAGCACTGACGTGGCAGCGCTGGAAGAGAGCTTCCGGAAGTTTGCAATCTATGGAGACACCAAAGCTACAGGGCAAGAAATGACTGGGAAAAACTGGGCCAAACTGTGCAAGGAGTGTAAAGTAATGGACGGCAAAGGGGTCACCGGCACAGACGTGGACATCGTCTTCTCCAAAGTGAAGTAAGTGGCTCCCTTGCTTCCCTTCCCTACAGCCTGCTCTACATCAGCGGCTGGCTCCTGGAGCTCAGGTCTGTGTGCTGCCTGCTGGGTCGCCCATGGGCGCGCTCCCAGGTCATTCCTTTCAGCCCCCTCCAGCCCTGTCAGACTCTGCGTGGAGCTTAGAGGAGCCTGGCATGCAGGACAGAGTTTCTTGTCCACCAGATACCGGCCACCAGACAACCCTCCCCACATCTCACTCCTGGCTATTTGCAGCACATTGTTACATGGTTGCTCAGCTTTCATATAGACACACACACGTTTCTAGTCTCATTGTTGAAAAGAGCCTTGACTACATGACCCGCGTGTAACGGTGCAGTGACACCTGCCTGAATCTCGCAAGCGCCTGAAACATTGGCTCCGAGATGGGTAAACGGCCCCCTTTAACCCAACGGGCTGTTAACCCCATAACCTAAACTGGCCATTTCACTATACATGTGAATGATTGCGTTGCTGATCATTTGAGCAGAACCAGTCAGCTCGCATGCTTATCCCACACACCCAACCTGCCCCTCACACCTTCCCAGAGCCAAAAGTCCCAGCTTCGCCCTGACAACGTCGGCGGGGCAGTTACTCGCTCCCCATTAAGAAATCTATGGCATCCCGACACCTGGAAGTTCAGGGCAACCACTTGAGACTATAAAGAAGGTGTGGGCTGCTGGGCTGCTGGATTATTCATCGGCACGTCGGATTCTGTAGGAACCTCGATTTGAATAGATCTGAGGCTGCTGCAGAACACCCGGAATCGGCCGTAGAGTCTGCCAAACCCACAGCCCGTGCAGCGGAGTTTGGGAGGGGCTGTCCACAGAGTGCGTGGGGCCTTCGATACTGGTTACTATGTACAGATGATGCCAGAGAAGCCCTGGGCTATCTCCACAAAGGGGAGTTCGCACTGTGACAGCTCTGAGGTAGGCGTGCAGGGACGGGGAGAGTTAGGGCTTGTCTACGCTTAAAATGCTCCAGCAGCACGGCTGTGCCGCTGTACCTGCACTGCGGTAGAGCTGCAGTGTAGACACTGCCTGAGCAGATGGGGATTCTCCCGTGGTATGCAATCCACCTCCTTGAGAGGTGGTAGCTAAAGTGATGGAAGAATTCTTCCAGCGACATCTTGAGGTATCGCCTCTTGAGGAGGTGGATTACACACCACGGGACAATCCCGCCCATCGGCACAGGTAGCGTCTACACTGAACAATCCTTCTGTCAACCCAGTGCTGTCGCCAAAGAGACTAGGCTGGCTTAACCACGCCACTCGGGGGTGTGGCTTTTTCACACCCCTGTGCCACGTAGTCATGCTGACTTAATTGTCTAGGGTAGACAAGGCCTTAGGTGCTTAAAGATGGGATCCACAAAAGCCCATATGCTCAGCAGGGAGCTGCCTAAGCTAGACAGCAGGCAATGCTGAGGAGAGGGGTAGGAACTAAGCCCCGGCTGCTTCCGGGTATTAGGAGCCTAACTGTGGGCTGCTCAGGATTCACAGCCATGAACCTTCTCCTGAAGTTAGGCACCCAACCAGGTCACTCCGTCCTTTCTTGCAAAAAATCAAGCCAGTACCCCTCCTATAAGCAATAGTCCAGAGGCTGGAGCACTCACCTAGGCTGTGGGACACTGACTTCAAATTCCCTCTCTGCCTGTTACGGTGTGAAGACGTGAGCCCAGAGCTCCTGTGCCTCCCTGGGGAGTGCCCTAGCCACGGCGGTATGGGGTGCGCTGGAACCAGGCTCCTGTTGGCTCTTGTACCACTTTATGTAAAATACTTAAACAGTCACTTGAGCAGGGACTTCAACTTGAGGCTCTGCCCTCCCAGCTGCAGGCCCTAACCCCCAGACTACAGCACCATTCTCATCGCCTGCGGCCCCCTGCAGACCCCCATGAAATCTCACGTGATGAGTAAGTCCCTCTCCTCTGCCCTCCCTCCCTCCCTGCTGTCCCGCCGTTCCCTGGGAACAAGATTCTGCCCATCTCATCACAAAGGAGTTTTTCAGTCTCATAAAGTATTTAACCCTAAATGTGACCAGGCTGCATTGCTGCTGGCTCAGTGGAGCAAGGGTTGGGGATGGGTAGATGGAACAGGGATGTTTGCCCCTGGTCATCTGCCTGGAAACAAGAGCTTGTCCAGCGACACGGCCCTCGCCAGCAAAAGGGCTAAGGCCTGCCAGGGACCGGCTCCTGCAGGCGCATCTTGGACTGCAGGGCCTCACAAATAGCCCCTCCACATCCACGTTGACCCAGGGCTGGATGAGGACAAGGCCTTGACCCTAAGGATTAACGGTCAATGAACAAGAACTTGGTGTGTCAGTTCTTGTGTCTCCTGCAGTCTCAGCCAGAGCTAAGATTCTTCTCTTCTGTTCTGTAGAACAGCTGCCAGGTTCTGCTCACCTGTGGCTGCCTTTCTGGAGGAGGGATCCCTGTGTACCTGAAGCAGTTCACATCTCAACTATTTCAGTAACTGGTGCATCAAACAGGGATGCACCAGTTCCTCTTTTCCCTCAAAGACCACCTGTCTGGGTAGCAGGGCTGGTCACCTGGGTCTCCCTGCCACAGCTGGGAATACAAGTGCCATTTGCAAGTGCAGCCCCGGGGTCTGTCTTGCAGCAGCTACCCTTCTAGTGAAGCGTTTGCACTAGGTCACGCCCCAGCCCTTGTGTCTTGCAGAGGGAAGACAGCCAGAGTCATTGGTTACGAGGAATTCAAAAAGGCCCTAGAGGAGCTGGCCCCAAAGAGGTTTAAAGGCAAGAGCAAGGAGGAAGCATACGAATCCATCTGCCAGCTGGTGGCAGGGAAGGAACCGACCAACGTAGGCGTCACTGTGAGTGATTGCTCTTCTCGGACACGTGGAGCAGGAGTGGGGGGACCTGGCAAAGACGGTGGGGTCTGTCTGTGGACATGCAGATGCTGCTCTGGGCCACTGGGAGCCCCACAAATGTCACATAGCAAAGCAGTGTGTCCTGGAAGAGGCAGGGATCTGGGGGGGCTGTGACAACTTAAGGGCAGGGCCCTGAGCAGTGGGGACAGCATGGGGTCCGGAGAGTGCATGGGGAATGGAGGTGTCTGGAACAATGAGGGACAGGTGGGGGAGTGGGCCAGCGTCATGGTCTGTGGGGGACTGACAGGGCAGGGCCTGGGGAGGCCACATGGGGGACGGAGGGGCCTAGGACAAGCACGTGGGGGATGGAGGGGCCTGGGAAGGGCACGTGGGGGACGGAGGGGCCTGGGAAGGGCATGTGGGGGACGGAGGGGCCTGGGAAGGGCTATAATTGCTTCTTTGTGTTTGACTCCCCTGCCCCATTTTCTTGCTGACAGAAAGCCACAACTGGCGGGGCGGTGGACAGGCTGACGGACACCACCAAGTACACGGGCTCGCACAAGGAGCGCTTCGATGAGAGTGGCAAGGGCAAAGGGAAGAGCGGGCGGGAGAACATCGTAGACACCAGCGGCTATGTGGGGGCCTACAAGAATGCCGGCACCTACGACGCAAAAGTGAAGAAATAGGGACAACTGGAAGTGCCACTGACCCTCCCAGGTCCAGGCACCCCACAGCCTCTGGGCCTTCAATCACATCAGCCTTGGGAACTGGCCTTAATGGCACAGGCCTCCTGAGACTAGCTCCTAGCCACGGAGCCAAGGCTGATAGGCCTCTTGTCACCAAGGGCTGATGTGATTAGAAACTGACCTGGCCTTGCACTTTGCTCCCAACATTACATCAGCTCCAGATGTATTGTGAGCCGTGTCCCTCCTGCTAGCGCTAACGAAACTTTCTCCCCCGTGCGCCCTCAGGGCACCACGCCCCTCCTGCTAGCACTAACGAAACCTTCTCCCCCGTGCGCCCCCAGGGCACCACGCCCCTCCTGCTAGTGTCAACCAGACCTTCTCCCCGTGCGCTCTTAGGGCACCATGCCCCTCCTACTAGCACTAACGAGACCTTCTCCCCCGTGCGCCCCCAGGGCACCACGCTCCTCCTGCTAGCACTAATCCTATCCTATCTCATAGAACTGGAAGGGACCTTGAAAGGTCATCAAGTCCCGCCCTCTGCCTTCACTAGCAGGACTAATTTTTTTGCCCCAGATCCCTAAATGGCCCCCTCAAGGATTGAACTCACAACCCTGGGTTTAGCAGGCCAATGCTCAAACCACTGAGCTATCCCTCCCCCCAGAGGGAGACCTTCTCCCCCGTGCGCCCTCAGGGTACCACGTCCCTCCTGCTAGTGCCAACCAGACCTTCTCCCCATGCGCCCTCAGGGCACCACGCCCCTCCTACTAGCCCTAACGAAACCTTCTCCCCTGTGTGTCCCCAGTCCACCACGCCCCTCCTACTAGCCCTAACGAAACCTTCTCCCCTGTGTGCCCCCAGTCCACCACGCCCCTCCTGCTAGTGCCAACCAGACCTTCTCCTCCGTACCCCTCACAAGGCCGCCACATTCCTCCCACTCGCTACAATGAGGCCTTCCCTTACTCATGCACTGGGTGCTTGCCTGTATCTCTTCCACTAGTGAGGTCTTCTACTCACTACAGATGCCAATATCCCTCCTGCTAGTGACAGATGCGCCTTTTCCAACCCTATGTCCCTTCAGCTAAGGCCAGGTCTACACTAGGAAGTTCGGCTTGTAGAACTATGTCGCACAGGGGTGTAAAAAATCCCGCCTCACCCCTAGCGATGCAGTGATGCCAACCTAACCCCCAGCGCAGAGCAGAATGGAAGGGCGTCTCCCATCGACAGAGCTACTGCCCCTCGGGGGGTGGCGTACAGGACAGCCGTACCAGTGCAACTTTTAAATGTAGACCTGCCCTAAGATTAACGACACCTCCTCCCCTCTGGGCACATCAGTCACCAGCATTACCGCAGCCCCTTCTCCCCAGGGCACTTCACTCGTCAGCATTAATAGCATCCTGCATGCGCCTTCCCTGGAGAACTGGCCTGCATTGTGTTTCACCCCCACCCCTCGGGCTCCTCCAGCAGCCCCAGGCCCCATCGTTCCCTGCCCAGTCCTCAGACGCCTGTCTTCTTGGCGGAGTCACAGCCAAAGGCCTCCCTGCTCTGTAACCTGGCTCTGCAATAAACCACCCCTTGTTTTGTACTAGCGCCCCGTGTGTTTTTTCGGAAGGAAACAACGCAGGCAATTCAGGGCTCAGGCAAAGGAGGCTGGTTTTGACCCAGGATCAGATCAAACGGGCCAGTCAGTCGACTTGGCTCCGAGTCAGACGCTAGGCGGGGAGTGGTGTGGGCTTGGCCCTGTCACCTCATGACTTTGGCAAGCTCCTGGCCGCCCTTGTGCCCCAATGTTGCCAGAGCAACCAGAGAGACACACAAACATTCAGGCACCTGGCTCCAGCTGCTGCAGTGTTTGCAACCAAACACATGAGCTCCTGGTAACACTCCCTGGGAACTGGGTCTTAATTGGAACCACCACCTCCCATGGATATGGCCCAGCATCTGCCCCCCGCCCCTCCCCAATCTTGCTGTGCTTTAGACAGGGCTCTAAAGCCTCTTGCACACAGGCCTAAGGCCCAGATCCTCAAAGGCCCCTAACTCCCAGGTGCCTAAATTCCTGGGCCTCGGGCTCTGGCCTCACACCCACTGAGAGTGCTGGAATCGCCTCCCCTGACTGATGGGTCTCTCTCTTCTGAAGTCAGAGGTTAGAGGAAGCCCAGAGCCACTAGGCCAGAGAGGATACCAGAGTGGGCCAGAATATGGAGGTCACCAGAGAGCAGGCCTTGGGAATACTGTGTGTCTGCGAGTATTGATGCTCAACTCTCCCATCTCGTCCCGTCTCATGCCACTGCCTCAGGAAGCCACTGGTGGGCCACAGGACTGATCAGCTTAGAAAAGAGACCACTGAGGGGGGCTATGATAGAGGTCTATACAATCATGACTGGTGTGGAGAAAAAGTGTTATTTACCCCTTCACCTAACAAAAGAACCAGGGCTCACCTGATGAAATTTATAGACAGCAGGACTAAAACAAACACAAGGAAGGACTTCTTCACACAATGCACAGTCAACCTGTGGAACTCGTTGCCAGGGGATGGTGTGAAGGCCAAAAGTATAACAGGGTTCAAGAAAGAACTAGATACGTTCATGGAGGACAGGTCCATCAATAGCGATCAGCAAAGATGGTTAAGGATGTTACCCCTGAGTGTCCCTAAATCTCTGACTGCCAGCAGCTGGCACTGGAGAACTGCAGATGGCTCACTCGAAAATTGCGCTGGTCTGTTCATGCCCTCTGAGCATCTGGCACCAACCACTGTCAGAAGACAGGATACTGGGATAGATGGACCATTGGTCTGACCCAATATGGCTGGTCTTATATCCCCTTTTCCCTGCTTGTGTGCCTTGGAGGAATTCAAAGCATTGAAGCCCTGCTGTGCTGACAAAGCCACTCCTCTGATGCACCACTTCAGCTCACCTAAACATTTCTCGTCTGGATTTTCCCTTCTCATTCGAAATGAGGCCTTAGCTGAGTTATTATTTATTTAGCATCTGAAGTGTGCTAGGAACTTTACAGAACAGAAAACACATCCTGGAGAACTCACAGAGATAACTGTCATCATCCCAATTGAGCTGGGAGGAGCAAGGCACAAGGGAGGAAGCACTGGGGGCAGGGGAGAGGAGCGGGGGAGAAGAAGGGTAGCGCCCCGTGATGAAGGTTAATATGATGCTAGGTTCCTGACTCAGCATTGCCGGTCCCCGTAGCTCCTGCTCCCTTAGTACAGCAAGTAGCTCTACAGCAACGAACCCAACCGGTTGATTAACGATCCTTCTCTCCATTAGCTTCTTTGTGGAGGCTGGTTCCTGGCACTTTCCCTCCTATCTCACAGGCCAGAGTCTCCTGACAACTCTGCAAAACACTCCTGGGCAGCAAGTCCCCTACCAACTAAACAGCCTTCTCAACAAGAAGTCAGATTACACTATGTGTCCCAGAGTTCTCTGCAGGTGCCAAGTGCCTCCTGTGGCAAAAACGTGGTTCACCAAGAAGTGTCTGTTTGGATGGCGGAGGCTACTTTAGGATGTTCTATTCTATTGAGGTTCTTATAGGGAGTTCCTGCTAGGAAACTTGCTTGCGTGAGATTTTCTCTCTGAAGTGGTCTAGGGAAGCCCATGAGTTATTGCATGTGCATCCAGACTGAGCCTGTGAACCTGCTGAGGTTTGCCCACCCCTGCAGCATGTTGTGGAAATGAAGTACATAAAGCATGCCCCATATTTCCAATTTTTAGTCATCCATTTAAGTTCTCTTCCTGCAGCTCTACAGTGTCAATGGTTTCGATTTCCATAATCTCATAATTTATGTATGGATAGAATTTCCCTGTGCATCTCGCTCTCTTCTTCTGTCTAAACTATAAAAATGCCCCAAAAGTTGACAGCCAAGAATAACACCTTGTTTTCCTCTGTATAGTGGCCATTGCATCCTGGAGTTCATCAAGTTCACAGGAGAGTGTGAAAACCACAGGAGTTGAGCTAGGTAGAAATAACTTCCTGTACGACCTGTAGAAAGAGAAAGGTTCTATGGGCAAACTTTCTGATACCCCTAGAAATCCAAGCCAGCTAGCTTTCACCCCAAACTAAGAACTGTAAAGTTGTCTGCCTTAGGGCTGGTCTACAATGGGGGGGGGGATCGATCTAAGATACGCACCTTCAGCTACGCTATTCGCTATTCACGTAGCTGAAGTCGAAGTATCTTAATTCGACTTACCTGGCCGTCCTCACGGCAGCAAGTCGACCGTTGCGGCTCCCCCGTCGACTCCGCTTACTCCTCCTGCCGAGGTGGAGTACGGGCGTCGATTCGGGGATCGATTTATCGTGTCTAGATGAGACGCGATAAATCGATCCCTGATAGATCGATTACTACCCACCGATCCGGTGGGTAGTGTAGACGTGGCCTTATGAAGCAGACATACATCTCTCTGTATGCGGTTAACCTGCCTTTTCCCTTCAGAATAATGTCTCGTTGTAGTGTAAGTTCCTCAATGATGTGAAATGAAAGGTGTGAAATATAACCAACGAATGAATGGACTCGGCCCACTAAATGTAGAGGAGCGATAAAGGATTTTGTTGGCTTTCTTTCTAGCAATGACATGAAAAGCATAGCACACAAAGGATGTAAGTTGTAAAGATGAAAGATGTAAGCACCTAACCAGGGTCTAGCTTTGAAGTAGTAAAAGAAATTGCCTGAAAAAGGGGGTATTCCATTTAATAGTCTGGCTAAGACAGAAATACAGTCCTGGAAAACAATGGAACATAAAAAGCTTCTTAATAAGAAAAAGGATAAAAGAAATTTGTTATACACTGTTGCCATCTACTGGATATTGATGGAAGCAGCAGTAAAACAGAGAACAGAAACCAGAGACCCCTGGGCAAGCGTCCAAAAGAAATAAGAGGACTGTTCTCCTCCGACAAATCCCAAAGAAGGTATGTAAATGGAGGTTACAGAGGTGGATCTCAAAGTTTTGCTGAACCCCCATGGCTAGCCTCTCCCTTCCTCCAGGGTCACAGGACAAAGAAGAGAAGTTTGCTGAACCCACAAAAGAAGCTACAGAATTCAGAAGAGCTACCAGACACTTGGACCAGCTCTGTGGCCAGCTCTCCCCACTCCTAGGGTTACAGGCCTGAGAAGAAGCAGTGACATTCCATTTCAGAGATTAAGTAACTGAAAGTTTCCTTGCTGAGTCTGCACTTTCCAGTGGGACCCCAAGGAACCATACGTGTGATTTTAACTGAGTAATGCTAGCTGCATAGTGCTCCATTGTAAGTCCAAGTAAACTGGCCCAAGAGACTCTCAAACAACTTTTAAGCAATTGCCTTTGATGTTTTAAATTAGTCCCTTTTATATTCAACACTAGAAAGAGCAGGGATCACATTGCTAAGAGTGCCTTAAGACCCATAGATTACAAGGCCAGAAGGGAACATTGTGATCATCTAGTCCAGCAGTTCTCAAACTTCATTGCATCGCGACCCCCTTCTGACATCAAAAATTATTACATGACCCCAGGTGGGGGTGGAGTGGGGGAATTCCTGGAGCCCGAGCCTGTGCCCCCCCGGGCTGAAGCATTCAGGCTT